ATTGATTTTGAAAAAAAAATCAGTACTAGCAAGACAATTCCATTTATCAAATTTTGAAAAAATACTCTGACAAATTTAGACTTTCAGATAGCCAACAGATTGCAAATTTTTGAAAACATGAAATCAATGGTCTAAATTATTTGTAAGCTTCACAAATGGTATATAGCAGACAGAGAGAATTACCCACCTGTCTGTCCCTCCCTCCCTCTCTCCCAGTATTTATGAGTCTGTATAGTGATAGAGCAGTCAGCCATGCAAGCAAGTAGTTAGTATGAATTCAAAATGGTATTATATGAAACACGATTAAATATCTGGAAATAATTTAAAGTTTTAGAGAAATTCAGATTATGATAAGCCTAAAAATTATATGCTTGTTTTGAATTTCGGGTTTCGTTTTGTGGTTCGGATCGTTAGTACTTGGTTTATTTAAATATTGTAACATGAAGGCGAGAAGCAGATTTAAGAATTTCAAGTTTAAATGGTATTATGATTTACAAAATTTCCACTCTTTTTACCACCTGATTTTAAATTCTTAACAATGAAAGTTATCAAATGAATTATTACGAAGTAGTTTTAAATTAAGATTTTAGTTAATTACTGAATGCATTAATCTCAATCTTAAATGATTAGCTTATGCCAAAATGATTCACATTCAGGTACTTTAGGTGATCATAATTTCATCATAATTAGTTTTGAAACGATTTTTGATTAGTTATGGAAATGATGAATATTTCAAAATATTTCTGAAACGAAAGTAATTTCATAATTTGATAAGAATAGATAATGTAATTTCTTTGTATGAATTGATAAATTAAACTCAAAAACCTTACTTGAATAAAAAAATAATTGAAAGTTTGTAGCAATTAAAAAAAAAATGTTATTATATTTTAAGTCACACACACACAAACACAATGACCAAAAATCACACTTTAAACACTAGAAAATATAACCATTCATATATAAAACACACTATTACACACCATTAACATTATCATTCAAATATCAAAAAAAAAAAATAATTAAATATAAAAAAATAAAATAAAATAAATAAATAAATAAATAAATAAATAAATAAATAAATAAATAAATAAATAAATAAATAAATAAATAAATAAATAAATAAATAAATAAATAAATAAATAAATAAATAAATAAATAAATAACAAGGGGAGACAACAGCTTGACTACTAGGAGAAAGTTTCAATTACATTCAAAAATACATAAATATTCATAAATATAATAACCACAATCACTAGAAAAGGGAAAATAGCAAGCACCTGTTTTTTGAAATATTCCAAAAAAAATTGTGCTTGGGGCAAGGATTCTATAAGAGGAGGTTTCTAAAAAAGGAAACAAGGAAAGGTAAGAATTGAAAACAATTATTCAAAAACAATAGTCTTCAATTTAAAATTACAAACAAAAATGCAGGGAAACAAGCAGATATAACAGGTGAGCATAGAAATCTTAATTCAGGATTAAAAATATAATCCTTAATCCTTAACGAACAGACAGATAAATAACATAGAATAAGGTAAACAACAGCTCATGCAAAGCTGACTTCATTTCAGCATGCACTATATGTTGTGTGTGTTGGCGTATGTTATGTTGTCCCTCAAGTTTATGAACGCATCAATGGAAGCTATTCTCCGAGTAAAAATTAAACGTGAAGTTTATATATTTATTTAAGTCTCAACTTTTGAATATATTAATAACAAGAAAACTTTGTGATACAAAAAATCTCTTTGAAGTCACACAAAAAATAATACAAAAATATATGAAATTTTGTCATGAGAATATATGTTTTTTTAAGCTTAAAATTTATAAAAAAAATTTCGATTTCAAAGCTCACCTGTTATTTTGAATGAAAAATAATTCTATTTCATTGTTCGGAAATTCAGAAGTCAGGGGTCCGAAAATCTTTACAGAGAAATAAAATTATTTTGATAAACAACACTGCAATCAATACAAATTCTAATAAGCCTAAAGTTCTATTTGATAAATACGAAAATCGAAAACTTTCCAATGTATTGAGAGCAACATTATTTTCATATTGAAATACAGGCTTATATTTCTTTCAATACATGCAAAAATACAAACTTTTTGTAGCTTCATTCAGTTAAAGCTGACAAAATCAATATTTTGGTGTCATGACATAAGGTCTGAGGTAAAATCGGTTAACAGTTGGGGTGTGTTTGGATTAAGGATCTGAGAAAGGGCTCTTGAGTTTTAATTGTTTCACGTATATGGAAAACAAATTAAAATGATGCTGCCATTTTTTGTATGAATTTGAAAAAAAAAATGTACATCTTGTATGAATTATTGATATCAAATGAGTTTCTGCCACTTTTTACTGGGTGGGGAAAAGGGTTTAAAACTCAGTGATGCATCCAAAACAAGACCAAAAACAGGATCCAAATCCAAACATCCACCAAATAAATCGTATTATTAGCATGAGCACTATGACGGCAAGAAGGAATTCCTGCATGCTAGCATCCTCAATATTGGTAGGGCGCCAACCTAATGCCAGAACTGAGAGTTCCGAGCTGGGCTTATCATGGATTTGTGCCGCCTCTTCCACAATCTCTTGTGTGACTTCAAGTTCCACTTTCTCAGGTTCACTCTCAGCAATTGTTTGTGGTTCTAAAATTAAAACAATTCAACAACATTATCACTTACCATTCTCTAGTTTTTCTTGCTCCAAATCAAAATTAAATCTACTAGTAACATATTCAAATAGTACTCAATTCTAACTCTGTTTTTTGAAAAAATTGTGAGCTGTCAGGTCTCTTGGTGTCAAAGGATTGCCTATACTTAATTTTGAATATTAAATGTAGTTATAACAGAGTGGCATAAAATGCCAGGGACAAAGAATAACAAAGCACCAATTTGAATATGTTAATCTCCAGTATGTTTTAAACAGCAAGATGTATTGTATTGACTAAATGCATGCTATTGAAAGTGAACCCAAGAAATTTGGTAAAAAACTGAAAAAAGTGCAATGACAAAAGAAAATAAGAGTTTAAATCTAAAAGAACTATATGATGAAAACACAAGGCAAAAAACAAAACAAAAGACAATAGAGTTCATGAGTGAATCAGTCCAAATTTTGGAATTTGTGGCTCTTCCATCTAAAAATATCAAATATCTCAAGATAGAAATCCATACCATGATTCAATTCAATAAATAAATTGGTTTTTACAAAGGATGAAAATAAAATAAAGTTTTTGCGTTCAAAGAAAATGGTCCACACTATAAATTTCACAAATTCTTTGAACAAAGAAAGGTTTTGGAATGTTCTCATACCACATGAAATCTAGTTTCCTGAAAATTTCATCTTTCGATTTCCTGATTTTAGAATCAACTCTCCAGATGAAATTTTCATACATCAAATCAATTCAATTCTATTTTAAGTGATGGCATTTTGTTATCAATATCTCAATACAAAATAATTATTTCAAAGCACGTTGAATTTTTCTTTTCTTCGGTTCAATGATGACCTCTGAAGTTTCTGCTTTCCAAAATAAGACGACTTCAACCTCAATAGAATAGAATTCTTGTCGGATTAGGCGCTCTTCTGCATCCAAAAACCCTGTTACATGCAAAAATACAAAACAAATTAGCGTCATTCTAAGACAGGGCAAAAGCACACAAAACTAAAGATAAAGGATAAATATTCGTATTGGAGAGATGTTAAAATATAATTTATCAGAAGTTTCAGAAGTCCTAATGCCAGAATTTCATTAATTTAAGAAAAAAATTAGTAATTTTAAGATAAGTAATTGAAAAAATGTTGAAAACCCCAAACATGCAAATTAAGACACCAAGGCCTGTAATTTGACAGTTTATTTAAAATAAGTAATCAATATTAATCAATTTAATAATTATAAATAAAATATCTGATATTTCAAGAACTTGTCAACTGATATTCTTAAATCTTGATGATTAAAAGACTCAAGTTGCAATGAATTTCATTTCATTTTTTAATCTTTTAGCTTCAATACTTAAACTATTTTTTACTCATTGAATTTGGTTATTTCAAAAAAAGGTAACCCCAAACATGTATATTCTCGAAAATTTGAAAGTTATGTAATTGAAAACTATTTGATGCAAATCCACTGTATACAGAAACACCACAATTTAAAGTAAAACTACAGTAACAATATCTACACTAGCTAAAACTAATACAATCTCTATTACAAAATCACCACAAATTATAGCATGTCATATAGCCTACTAGGTGGTATCCAACTTTTATAATTCAAATTAGCACATATTACATGCCAGTGTGTATGATTGAAACCATTAGTACATTTGACATCAGTGCCACTCCTTTTGATTCAAACTTTTTATTTACATAGCATGCTCTTTTGGCGCCAGGTTGAAATTCATCGGAATATATGTTGATCTAGACATGGATGGCGGATCCATAGTTGAGAGGGTGAATTATAGTTTATGCAAATTTAGGGTACTATCAAATGGAGATCCCTATATATATGGAGAAGCCTTAGTATATCTCAATCCTTGCCTGCTCAACTTCCAAGCCATAGTATATATATAAAATATTATGGGTTTAGTCAACCCTTGCCTTCCTGCCTCAACTTCATGCCATCTCTTGTGATAGGTTAATAATCTACTCTACTCTAATCTATGTTATGTCTAAATATCACTATACATATAAATATATACATCTTGCCATTTTACAACATATTCATTATAAACAACATTAAAACAATGCATCCATCTTATTTTGTAGCCTATACTTGGTTTTATCATCATCTTGCAAATAACTCAACAACATCATGTGAACTAATAGCACTACTGCGATTGACTATATATCTTCAAATTAAAAAGACACGACACCTAATTCTCAAGAGGTCTGCATATAACGAAAATTAAGAGCACATGATTTCAATATCTGTCCCGTCTATTTGCATTCGACTCCTTCTTTCTATAATACTACAAAAACTAAGTAAGGCAAAACATATCTGCCCTGATATCTTACTTTCAACGAAAATTTCAATCCATGATTTAGCTACGCCAGCATCATTTTGAGCTTGACACAGGTATTTGGCCTCCTCATCTACGGTGATATTTTGGATGGTAAGAGTACATCGACCGTCTTGGTGGTATTCTGTGATGAATCGTTCACTAATGTCTAGTTTTATTTCATCCTGAAAGTAAAATGAAATTGGTTCTAATGCATAAATAATTGCAAACAAGTGTTTTTAAAGGGACAGCTGCACCATTTTTTTTGACCAATCATACTTTAGTCTCAGAAAATGTTTTAGCTGAGATAATCAGTAATAGTGTTCACAGCTCACTGTCAAAAATCCATTTGTGTCCAGAATTATCTGTGATTGAATATTAAAATGACTCGTTAATTTAAGGTACTCTGTGATGTATAGAAAAGACATATATAGAAATAGTGAGTATTTTTAAAGCAATTATGTGATTTTCGCATATTTCTAGTATTTCTGAAAACTATTTACATATATTCAACCCCCCAAAATGGCACACCTATCCCTTTAATGGAAATTTTGTAGGATTCTTTACTTATCGTTTTTAGCTGTTTTCATGGTTGTTTTATTCCAGCTTCTGTTAGTACTAAACCAGTCAAGACATTACTTATTGTGATACATTAGAATCATCTTGTATATTAGAAATTCTTGCTATTCGTACTCCTAGTCATTATTTATCATGAAGACCAAACATGAAAAAAGAACTAACAGGTTCAAGAAATATCTTGTAGGAAATTGTAAACCATTGGTTTGATTAAGAGTGTTCCTAGCCTGTCCATAAGGATATGATAAATGCTGACTATTGGCGTACCCAAAGTTTTGATTCTTACCTTATACCATTCTACAGTGGGTCTTGGGTGACCAACTACCACACACTCAACTGTAACTGACGTGCCTTCAAATACTTCTAGCTGTTTTTGGAGGGTCTGCGTGAAACGGGGTGCTTCATGCGCTCCAAGATCTATGGTTTGAGGAGCCAGCTCTTCTTTAGGCTGCTCCTCGGGCGAAACTGAAAAAATACAATAATGAAATGAATTTGGAGTTTTATGTCCGACTTTTCGACACCTTTTGATGAAGATGTGAAAAGCCATACAGTGAACAATGAGGAAAAGTTTGCCAGGTCATAAGGTTTTGGTTTTCGTTCCATCCAGATAACATAATCCTTCTACATGTTGCCCCTCTGCATCACTGATAAGTGGAAACTGGGTTGAAAAATCTGAAGGTATATTTCCAGCTATTCCAATGCAAAAATGATTGAAGAGAATCACGAAGCTTACCGGTTTCTGCAGGACTCTCTTTAGGTTTCATTTCAATATCAACTTGTACTTTGTGTGATTCCTCAACACTTTCTTCCTGAATGGTGATTGATTCTGTGACATCAATATCAGATCTTTCTTCGGGCATAACTTCTTCTAGTTTCTCAGCTGAAAATAGATCACATTAATACGTAAGGTGGGTCCTACAGGTGGAAATAATCACCAGATAATACCAAAGCTATATAAGGTGAACAGATATCTAGTTTTTTCTGATCCCTTTAGCAACTTTTTTTATCATCACTATTGTACTAGGTAGAAATCATCCTCATAAATTGTACATTACAATTTCAAGGTTCTATATAGCGAACACATATTTAATTTTCTCTAATCCTTTATCATTATTACTGTACTACGCTTTCTCATTTGATGATGGCAATGTAAATTGTTGAAACATTGTATACAATAAAACCCAGGAGTGGTATACTATGAATCTGTGATCAAGCAATTTCAATGAACAGGAAAATGAAATATAAACCAGAGCACAGAATGAGAAAACTAAGTAGATTGCATTGATATACTTACGTTTAACTGTAATATAAGCAGTTGTTTTAGCTGTTCCATGTTCGTTCTCTAAAATGACTTGATATTCGCCTTCATCATCTCTGATGACTTCTGGGATAACAAGACGACTAAAATCTTTATCGATGGTTACGAGGAAATCAGTGGATGTTTTGATTGGCTGATCATCGAGAATCCAAGTAACAACAGGAGCTGGGATGCCAAGGAATGTGACCTCCATATGAAGAGTTTCACCTTCAATCACAGTGATGTCTTTAAATGTTGTGATGAATTCTGGTTTCTTGCCCTCAGGTTCCTCTGATTGGTCCTTGACAGTAACTACTTCTTCTACTGGACGTTCAACCAGTTGATCTTTCTCAGAAGAAATGGACAAGACTGATGAATCTTCTTTGATTTCAAGCTCAGAAAGAACTCGTTCTTCAGTGAGGACAGGTTCTTCTACAGTGACCTCTGGTGTCTTTGTGTCCACAACAACATCTTCGGTAGGCTTTTCCTCTTCAATCACTTCTTCTTTGGTATCCACAACTGATGGAACATCTATTTTTACTTCAATAGTCTCTTTGATCTCCTCAACAGTTTCTTCTGTGGGTGCTTTCACTTCAACATCAACACCTTCTGTTGGTTTTTCTTCCTCGATGAGTTCTTCTTTGGATTCCACCTCAGAAGTAACTTTGGAGATAACTTCTGTGGTTTCTTTGATTTCCACAATAGTTTCTTCAGTAGGAGCTTCAACTTCAACATCAACTTCTTCTGTGGGTTTCTCTTCTTCAACAAGTTCCTCTTTAGCTGAAACTTCAGCAACTTCAGTTGGTTTGAGCTCAATGGTTTCTCTTAACTCTTGGATGACTTCTTCAGTAGGAGCTTCAATTTCAACATCCACTCCCTCTGTTGGTTTTTCTTCTTCGATGATTTCTTCATTGGATTCCACCTCAGAAGTAACTTTGGAAACAACTTCTGTGGTTTCTTTGATTTCCACAATAGTTTCTTCAGTAGGAGCTTCAACTTCAACATCAACTTCTTCTGTGGGTTTCTCTTCTTCAACAAGTTCTTCTTTAGTGTCAACTTCAGAAACAACTTCAACTTGGACTTCAGAGACTTCTTTGATCTCTTCAGTGGTCTCTTCTTTGGGAGCTTCAACCTGAAGATCAACTCCTTCTGAAGGTTTCTCTTCTTCAACGACTTCTTCCTTAGTTGAAACTTCAGCTACTTCAGTTGGTTTGAGTTCAATGGTTTCTCTAAGCTCTTGGATGACTTCTTCAGTAGGAGCCTCAATTTCTACATCAACTCCCTCTGAAGGTTTTTCTTCTTCAACAAGTTCTTCTTTAGTATCAACTTCAGAAACAACTTCAACTTGGACTTCAGAGACTTCTTTGATCTCTTCAGTAGTCTCTTCTTTAGGAGCTTCAATTTCAACATCAACACCTTCTGTTGGTTTTTCTTCCTCAATGAGTTCTTCTTTTGTTTCTACTTCAGAAGTAACTTTGGAAACAACTTCTGTGGTTTCTTTGATTTCCACAATAGTTTCTTCAGTGGGAGCTTCAACTTCAACATCAACTTCTTCTGTGGGTTTCTCTTCTTCAACAAGTTCTTCTTTAGCTGAAACTTCAGCAACTTCAGTTGGTTTGAGCTCAATGGTTTCTCTAAGCTCTTGGATGACTTCTTCAGTAGGAGCTTCAATTTCAACATCGACTTCCTCAGAAGGTTTCTCTTCTTCAACAAGTTCTTCTTTAGTGTCAACTTCAGAAACAACTTCAACTTGGACTTCAGAGACTTCTTTGATCTCTTCAGTAGTCTCTTCTTTAGGAGCTTCAATTTCAACATCAACACCTTCTGTTGGTTTTTCTTCCTCAATGAGTTCTTCTTTTGTTTCTACTTCAGAAATAACTTTGGAAACAACTTCTGTGGTTTCTTTGATTTCCACAATAGTTTCTTCAGTTGGTGCTTCAACTTCTACATCAACTTCTTCTGAAGGTTTCTCTTCTTCAACAAGTTCCTCTTTGGCTTCAACTTCGGATTGTAAAACAGGTTTGGTTTCAACTAGTTCTTTGATTTCTTCAATTGTGTCTTCTTTAGGCACTTCAATTTCCAGTTCAACACCTACTGTTGGCTTTTCTTCTTCAACAGATTCCTCCTTGACCTCGACTTTTGTAGCAATGTCTATTTGGATCTCAGATTTTTCTGTAACTTGTTGGGTTGTGTCCTCAGATGGTACTTCGATTTCGACATCAACACCTTCAGATGGTGTCTCTTCTTGAATTATTTCCTCCTTGGCAGTTACTTCTGACAGTTCATCAGATTTGACAACCAATGTTTCTTTGATTTCCTCAATGATCTCTTCAGTAGGTGCCTCAATTTCTACATCAACACCTTCTGTGGGTTGTTCAACTTGGATTACCTCTTCTTTAGTATCAACTTCAGAAGCAACATCAGATTGGATTGTTAAGGTCTCCTTAATTTCTACTGTGGTCTCTTCCTTAGGTGCTTCAATTTCTACATCCACACCTTCAGAAGGTTTTTCCTCTTGGATGAGTTCCTCCTTGGTTTCTACCTCTGAGAGAACATCCTTTTGCACTTCAATAGTTTCTTTGATTTCTTCAATAGTTTCTTCAGATGGTGCTTCAACTTCAACATCAACGCCTTCAGAAGGTTTTTCTTCAATAATAAGTTCTTCCTTGGTCTCCACTTCAGAGGCTACTTCTGATGATTTCTCAATGGTCTCTTTGACTTCTTCAATAGTTTCTTCTATTGGAGCTTCAACTTGTACATCAACTCCTTCTGAAGGCTTTTCTTCCTCTGGAACTTTGGAATCAGAGACTTGCTGAATTTCCAATTCCGTCTCAAAGGTTTCAGATGGTGTTTGAGCTTCAATGACCTCACGGATTTCTACAGTTGTTTCAGCACCAGGTCTGTCCACAAATTCTACAGCATCTTCTTCTACTGGAATTACTTCTTGGACAGTTTCTTCAATTCTCTCGATTTTGGAGGTTTTTGAGGTAATAGAAGGTCTCTCATAAACCACAATTTCAAGTTCCGGAGCTGTGGATTCATATTCCACCTGATTCATTTCAGTAGTCTTTGTGACAGTATGGGTAGACTCATCTTTCTCAACCCTGATTTCCATCTCTGTTTCTGAACGTGATGGGGAAATTTCTATGGTTTGTTTGAAAGTTTCATCTGTCTTAGGAGATTCCTCTTTTTCCACCTGTAAGGTTTCCTTGTAGGTTGTGGTTTCTGTTGTTTCAACAGTGATCTCTGATGGCTGCTGCTCGATAGAGATTTCCTCACGGAAAGTTTCTGTATCTTCAATTGTCGTTTCGACACCTGCAATGTACAAATAAAATGGTCTCATTTTCCATCATTAAATTATTTTGTAAAAGTTAATTTTTTTCAGACTTATTTATAGGATAAATCTTTTTTTACAATTTTGGAAATCTCTCCTTTTTGATCATTGCATTAAGGAATCGTGAGATTATCCTGCTGATGAATAGTATGTCCAAAACGCTTTCTACTTCATAAGATGATTGCATGTTATTTACAGAATATATAGATATATATTGACACCTTCAAAAGAGGTCTGGGTACACAAACAATGTTATTAACATATAAGATATACTCTGATTATTAACAATAATTATTATTTGAAAGTTCATTCTGATTATCAACAACAATGTGCCAAGCAACTATAAATGATCATGCTTACCGATGACTGTGATGTAGGCAACACAGGAGCAGCTTCCAACCTTATTTACAGCCTCCACTCTGTATTCACCCTCATCTTCAGGGAGAACTTTATTGATAATCAGAGTAGACTTGTATTGTTCAGTGATCAGCTCTATATCATCCTCAGCAATGATCTCTTCATCTTCAAAATGCCAGGTAATTTCTGGAGCTGGTATACCAGTGACTTCAACTTCTAGTTTCAGAACAGAGGACTCATTGACTGTCATGTCTTTCAAGAGGATTACAAAATTTGGAGCTTCCTCTTGCACTTCTTCCTTCTTTTCAATTGGTTCCTCCACTGGTGAAGGTGCCTTTGTCTGGAAGGTAAGTTCAGATACAGCTGTTTCTGGTTTGTCATCTCCTCTAACCTCTTGGAAGACTTTTTCGACAAATTCAGTTGCAAAAGATTCAATTTCAGTAATATCTGGAGTAGCTTCAGGAGCAACAACTTGTTCCTGGATATCCTGATCCTTTGGTTCTTCTTCAGTGATCTCAATTTTGAATTCCTCAGGCTGTTGTTCTTCAGGTTTGCCGATCTCAAGCTGGATTTCAGAAACACTAGTTTCTTCCTTTGGTTGTTCAGGAACAACTTCAGTTTCAGAAACCAGAACAACTTCTTCTGATACCTCAGTTTTGAATTCTTCTGGTTGTTTGGCTTCTGGTTGGTCCATTTCTACTTTAATTTCAGATACTGTGGTTTCTTCTTTTGGTTCTTCTTGAATGACTTCAGGCTCAGTTGGAGCAACAGTTTCTTCAGAAATCTCAATTTTGAATTCCTCAGGTTGTTGTTCCGCAGGTTTGCCGATCTCTATCTTGATTTCAGAAACACTAGATTCTTCCTTTGGTTGTTCAGGAACCACTTCAGTTTCAGAAATAAGAACAACTTCTTCTGATACCTCAGTTTTGAATTCCTCAGGCTGTTTGGCTTCTGGTTGGTCCATTTCTACTTTAATTTCAGATACTGTGGTTTCTTCTTTTGGTTCTTCTTGAATGACTTCAGGCTCAGTTGGAGCAACAATTTCTTCAGAAATCTCAATTTTGAATTCCTCAGGTTGTTGTTCCGCAGGTTTGCCGATCTCTATCTTGATTTCAGAAACACTAGTTTCTTCCTTTGGTTGTTCAGGAACAACTTCAGTTTCAGAAATCAGAACAACTTCTTCTGATACTTCAGTTTTGAATTCTTCTGGTTGTTTGGACTCTGGTTGGTCCATTTCTACTTTAATTTCAGAAACTGTGGTTTCTTCTTTTGGTTCTTCTTGAATGACTTCAGGCTCAGTAGGAGCAACAATTTCTTCGGAAATTTCTATTTTGAACTCCTCTGGCTCTTTGGATTCAGGTTCACCAATGTCCATCTTAATTTCTGAAACAGTAGATTCTTCTGTAGGTTGTTCCTCAATAACTTCAGACTCGGTTGGGGAAACAATTTCTTCAGAAATTTCAATTTTGAATTCCTCCGGTTGTGTAGTGTCTTGTGTACCAATGTCCATTTGGATTTCTGATACTGTGGTTTCTGTTCGTTGTTCTTCCTCAACAGTTTCTGTTTCAGAAACAAAAACTGTCTCCTCAGATGTTTCAGTTTTGAACTCTTCTGGTTGTTTGGCTTGAATTTGAATAGTATCCAGTTGTATGTCCAGTGTTGTTGGTTTTTGGAAATCCGTTTCATCAACAGCCGCAGTAACATCTTCAGTGACTGTTTCATCTGTTGTTTCAGCCTGAAATTCTGGTTGATCACGAAGCTCTGATTCAGCAACTTCGGATACAATGTCAGTAGGTACTGCTGCTTCAGGCTGAACTTCAACACCTTCTTGTGTTTCTTCTGGTGATTGATCAGTGTCAACCTGATCTGCTTTGAACTCAGCAATCTCAGCTTCATGCTCTTGAGTAGTTATTGGAGATTCGGTTAATGGACTGACAAATTCCAGTTCGCTCTCTGATGGCATGTCTTCAACTTCTATGAGTTCAGTTGAAATTTGTTCCTGGAGTTTATGGATCTCTTCTACAAATTGTTGGGTGTGTGGAGTAATCTCTGTGTCCGAATCGGCTGGTGTTGGTCTTGGGGATGTTGGCAAGGATGAGAGCATCGAGTCTGATGCCTCCTCTGTATCTGGTATATATTCATAAGCTGAAAAAAGAAATGGTTGTTTATTAAGAGCCTAATAAATAAGAAAAGAAATCTCAAAAGAATTATATCTTGCAAAGTAATATCATAACCTCACCCAAAAATCATTTTGTATAAAAAAAATAGGTGTATTTACTTTCAATACAATTTTGTCCGATTTTACATTTTACATTTGTTATTGCTACCTGTTTTTCTAACAATGAACTAAAACATTACTTACATTCAATTTCCAGATAAGCCTTTGTCTCAGCCTGACCATACTCATTGACAGCAATACACTTGTATTCACCAGCATCTTGTGGGAAGACCTCAACAATCAACAAAGTGCAGTTTCCAGACTCCATATCATAAGTCAGTTTAAAATCTTGATTCTCAGCGATTGGTTTCTCATCATGGAACCATGAAACTTGTGGCATTGGTTGACCGACAACTTCACAACGGAATTTCACTTCTTCACCGTCCATCACCTTCAGAGACATCAAACCCCAAGTAAATTCTGGAGCTTGTCCACCATCTAAAACATCCTGAAGATCAACAACTTCTTCCTGCACCTCGGTTGTTTCTTCAACTTTGTCGGTGACAGTTTCCTCCTCTACTGGACTGGTTTGGAAAGTGAAAGTCATCTCCTCTGTCTGTTCAGCTTGGGGCTGTCCAGCAATTTCAAAAGAGATCTCTTCTTTGTGTTGTTCAGAGGTTTCTTCAGTCACCTCAGTAGATGGTTGTTCTTCAACAGGAGCAGTTTGGAAGGTTAACGTGACTTCATCAAGTTTTTCTGGTTGATCCTTTCCAGTGATTTCAAAAGAAATTTCTTCCTTGTGTTGCTCTTGAGTCTCAGTAGTTACCAGCTCGGATTCGGGAGCAGATTGTTCTGGGACAACCTCATGGATTTCAACCTTTTCAATCACCTTTTCGGTGGTAGGTTCTTCAGAAACCGGTCCGGTTTGGAAAGTGAAAGTCAATTCTTCAGTAGATTCTTCCTGTGGTTTTCCAGCAACTTCAAAAGAAATTTCTTCTTTGTGTTGCTCTTGAGTTTCCTCAGATACCTCTGTCACAGTTTCCTGTTCCACTGGGGAAGTTTGGAAAGTGAGTGTCATCTCTTCAAGAGGTTTTGGTTCAGCTTGTCCTGTGATATCAAAGGAAATCTCTTCCTTGTGAAGTTCTTCAGTTTCTTGTGTTGAGAGCACATCAGGTGTGATTGTCTGTTCTGACACCATGATCACATCTTCAGTTGGTACATCAACTTGTTCTGTGGTTGGAGCCTGGTCAACTGGGGTTGTCTGGAAAGTGAATGAAATCTCTTCAGTTGATTCCTCAGGAGCTGGTTGCCCAATTTCAAAAGAGATTTCCTCTCGTTGGCTGTCATCTGTGACTACATCTGTAACATCAAGGGTAATTTTTTCCTCCACTTCATCTACTGACATTGGAATTTCAACTTCAGAGATGGATGTTTCTTCTGGTTTCATTTCAACGGAGAACACAACCTCTTCAGCTGGTTTTCCAGGGATTTCAAATTCAACCTGATCCTTGAAAGTCTCGGTTGTTTCTTCAATCTGGGAGACAACATCTTGAGACTCTGGTCTTGGTTGATCATCAGTGACCAATATGACAGCTTCTTCAGCTGAAGTTTCTGGTAGCTTGATCTCCATCTGGACTTCCTGAATTTCCTCCTTTTCGGGAACACCAACTACTGTTTCTCTTTCAGAGACAATGATTACATCCTTAGGAGCTTCTACTTCGACTTCAACAGTATCATCAGTTTTTAAAACGAATTCAACCTCTTCAGCCACCTCTGTGGGTTGCTCTTCTTTAGGTTTCTTGGTGATTGTCTGTCGGGTTTCCACAACTTGTTCTGGTTCAGCTTTGGGAGATTCAACAGGTTGGGTAACTTCTTCAACAGTGATCTCCTTTTCACTGATACTGACTTTTCGAGTTGGGATGACAATTTCAGATGTTCTACGTTCACCCTGAATAATGGTTTCTTGAACACTGACCTCAATTCTCTGGACTGATGAAGATCTTCGGCCTTGCTCAGGCATCTGGACTTCTCCAGAAGGAAGTTGGAATCTGATCTCTTCAACATCTGTATCAGATTCGCTGACTATGGTGATAGTTTCAGAATGTCTTTCAGTTGGTTCATCCACTATAGGTGTAGACGTAAGTTCCTTAGTAATGGTTGTAGTAGATTCAGAGACATGAGACACAAGTTCCTCTTTGGTTGGTTCGATTGGAAGTTGTACCACCATCTCAACTGGGGAAGCTTCTTCCTGCTTCTTCATCATGATAGTGGTCTTGTGTTTGTCTTCACCTTCCATGACCACTGGAGCTTCTGTCTCTCTGGTGTACTGGGTGATGCTGGAGGATTCCTGTACCAGACTGGTCACATCAGGTGCCTCTCGTGGACCACCGATATCAAACTGGATTTCCTTGATCTGTGTTTGCTGAGTTTGTGGAGATTGGATTTCAATGACCTCTGTAACCATGGTTTCATCATCACTTGGTCTGTGATCAATTTCAATAGTTTCCTTGTGGACCTCATCAGATGATATTTCTTCATCCAAAGATTCTGAAAATAAAATAAAAAGATGATTGGGCAAATATCTTATCAGTTCAGAATCTTACCACAGACAATGTTTAGTATATTTATATCCTATGTAAAAGCTATTTTCAGTACATCTATGCCAAGAGAAATTTGAATATTTTTTTCAAAAACAAATATTTCAATTGCCACATTAATTCAAGAATAATAAACATTGCTTTGCTCTGGTACCATTTCAGTGTATGGTCCTAAAGTGATAAAAAATTGCTGCTCTGAGGAGTGTATATCCCTTACTTTACAAAATGCACAAATTACATCTGGCTCAAATCTATTTCAAAAAGAAGTCAATACCACTTACCAATGACTGTTAATCTACAAGATGTCATGGTTGTTCCAAACATATTTTCAGCAACACATGAATATTCTCCTTCATCATCAGGAAATACTTCAATAATAATCAGAATACTCTCACCACGTTCCTGAAACAAGGATTACAGAAAAAGTTATTACAAGATCATGGATTATTCTGATATACAGAACCCCCCATATCAATGTTTGAAGTTCTTTAGATCAAGATAACTGCTGTCTGTACCTGTTACACAAATACATTAAGAACATTAAAAAAAGTTTTAACAGATTGTGTACGGCTTGTACTTCTAACTTTTTCAAACTTTAAAACATCTTTGAGTGAGCAAGTTCTTTCAAACCAAGCATTAACAATACCTATATATCATTACCAGGGTGAGCATGGCCTGTGTCCGTGTACCTTTTGCACACTTTGAGTGATCATGTAGTGTCTATCTAATGACAACCATGCCAAAGTAATTGTCTCCTCAATGAGCCATTATATTTTTTTCAGGTTGAAAACTATTGACTTACTGGGTTAGTGGTGATCTGGAAATCTGATGAAGGGATACACTCTTCTCCATCATGATACCAGTGGATCTGTGGGGAAGGAACTCCACGGAATGTCACCCTGAGTTCAACTCGCTCTCCATCCGTTACACTAATAGGTTGTAAAATTGTAGTGAATTCTGGTTGTTGGCCTTCCAGACCTTCTTCAGGAGCTTGGTCTGTTCCGGGAGTAAAAGTTTCAGGTTGTTCTTCTGGTTTAGCTGATTCTTGAGGCTGCTCTGTTGCTGGTTGTACATCCTCATCCTCCTGTCTTGGTATAGCTTCAATTACTACTTCTGTTTTATGTACAGCTGAAAAACACATCACTTCATTAATCTCATATTTAAAATGACTCAAAGACTTGACATAACATCCAAAGCAATGAAATGAAATGGAATTTACATCTTACTTTTATGAAAACTTAGAAATTGTTTCAAAATTTAAGTTTTCTGCTCAATGGCTGATATAATTATCAAAACAATTAGATGAGATGAGATGGAGTTTTACATCCTACTTTTATAAACACTCAGAAATTGTTTGTAAAATATTGAGGAATGAGGATACCCAAATTGACATTTGTCTGAATTCATCAAGATTCGAATTTGATTTTTTTAAATCCAAAGATCAAAGTTTTTTCAGAATTCCCTCACAGCCGAAACGAGATGGAGTTTTAACCATTCTGCATCGGTTTGTGCTCATAATGAGGGCAACAACTAACAGCTGAACTGAAAAGGAACTTACGAGTAATAGTGAGAGTTGTCTTGCATCTGGTAACACCCATGATATTCTCTGCAAGACATGTGTACTCTCCAGAGTCTTCAGGTGTAGCATCAATAATCACCAGTACGTGAGTATCATCATGTTTCTCCAGCTTCATTCTATCAGTAGGTTGGAGTTGAAGTTCATCCACAAACCATTTCACTTCAGGCTCTGGTTCCCCTTTCAGCTCTAATTCAAGTCTGAAATAAGAAATCATTTTGTTATATTTATCTGATAGTTGGATTGTCCACTGTACTTTCTAAAGTAATTAAAATACACCAAAATGCTATAGAGACATCATTTACCTTGAAAACTTCTTTCTGTGGTATTGAAAAGATTTGAAAAATACACAAATATAATGAACTCTTATAAAGTCTGACAACCATCCAAAACAAAAAAGATATATTTAGAGGGATGTAGATAAACCTTACCTGACAGTGCCCCCTTCTGGTGCCTCAACAGCAGGCAGAAGTGGTTTGGTGAATTTCGGTGACATCTGGACTGAGCTGATGTGAGATTCTTGAACCAGGACAACTTCAGGTTGGTCCTGTCCCTCAATGACAGTTACAGCCGTTGTGGTGTGAGTCTCAGATTGAGTTGTTTCCCTTGTTATTATCGTGTCTGTTGTAGTAGTAGTTGTTGTTTCTGAAAAGATGATGAATTATATTTTGGAAAAACGAAACAGATAACCCTCGTGTTTAGGCCTACTTTTTATACCTTTGCTTCTATAGATAAAATTAGCAGATGTGTTTACGTGAATGGTGATAATGTTATTTGTGAACAACCACACAGTTAACTTAAAATTATGCGTTTTATTTCTTTAAGAAACAGTCTACCATTCTTGAAACTTTTGCTTCTAAAGATGGACAAACAGATGTTGTAACATAGTTGTATTCATCTCCAGATGAATTTCATGTTACTTATAAAGAAGATAATTTCAAGGCATTGACAACATTGGAATCAAAATTCAGTTAATAAGAAGACAATCATTGTTGGCAGGAGCGTCTATTTGTGATTTCCTTTCACAACCACTACAATGCCTCAAACAGCATGGCTGGAAGTTTGTAGATATGATCAGATTTCTTACCTCTTACAACAAGAGTAGCTGAAGTGGTAGTTTCACCAAAAGGATTAACAGCTCTACACAGAAATTCACCACTATCATCCATAAAGACTTCACTGATATCCAGGGTACAGATACCAGTATCACTGTCATAATATGGATGGAAGTCTGGATTGGGTTCAATCTCAATGGAGTTCTTGTACCATGAAACTGAAGGAATTGGTGATCCAACAACTTTACATGTGAATTTAACAGGATGTCCCTCTTCCACCACTTGTGGTTGAAGGATCTCAATGAATTCAGCAGGAATTTCCTCTGGTGCTTCTACTGTAAAGGCTTGTGGTTGATCTTCCACAATCTCCATGATGATTTCTTGTGGTTTTTCGGACTCTGGTGGTGGTCCAATAACAATGGTTTCTGTCACCATTGACTCTTGGGTTTCAGGCTGAGTTTCCACAGGTTGTTCTTCAGAAGGTTTCAACTGGAATGTGACTTCAACTTCTTCAGGTTGACCAACAACTTCTGGTAGTTTGATTTCCTTGGTGACTTTCTGCAATTGAATTTGTTCTTCAGTAACTTCTGGACCAAAATCAGGTTTGGGTTTCTCTTCTACTGGAGGATATTCCTGGGGAGGTGACTCTGGAACGCGTTCTGGTTCCAATGGCACCGGTTTCTTGCGCTCAATCATGGTTTTGCTGACAACTGGTTCCATAGCTTCTTCTTGAATTTCACTGAGTCTTTCTCCTTCTTCTGGAGTGACATAGATTTCTGAATCACCTTCTTCAGCAGTGACATAGACTTCAGAAGAGGCAGGAGAATCCTTGTATGGATCTTCTTTCACAAGAGGTTCCAGCTTTGGTCTGTCAATAAAATCAGGAACAACTTGCTCCTCAGCGATTTCTTCTGGACTTTGGTCAGTCACGTCCATGGGAGCTTCTTCAGATTCTGGCATTTCAGCAACAAATTCTGTGGTTTCTTCAGGTGCTTCCACATCCATGGACTCATCAGGTGACACAATAACAGACAGAGTTGCTGAGGTAGTTGCTTGTCCACCAGGATTTTGAGCAATACATGCATATTGCCCCTTATCATCTGGGAAGACTTCAACAATAATTAAGCTTATCTCCCCTGTTTCTGGTTCATAGGAAATGACATATTCTTCATCATCGTCAATATTTTCTCTGTCATGAAACCAAGAAATCTGAGGTGGAGGGAATCCTGTGACTTTGCAGGTCAATCTGATTTCCTGGCCGTCAGTAGCTGTGGTGGAATGAAGGGGTTCCACAAAGTCTGGTGGGGTAACTAAAACTGTGGTTGGTGAAGCTTCGACTCCAACAGGAGCCATCTGTAAACCAGGTATATATTTGGCCATGGCTTCTGGATCTGGAAAGGCAATAAAATGATAAAAATCATGAGCTTGTCTTTCAATACTGGCAGGTGAAGATAGAGCAATTCAGACACATCATAGTTCCGAAAAATTGCATTTGAATTTGTGAATGAGGGAAATTTGTGATGGCAGTCAAGAAAAGTCCCTATCATTATAAATATTTTACAATTTAAATTGTTCACATATTGAATCTATTTTTGTTCAAACTATACCCAGATAAAGACACTTCTTGTGAAATACATTCACTATGTAATATTGATTCCAATATAAACGTCAAGATGTCATTGCTAACTTGAAACTTGATAAAATCTTGTGAGAAATCCTTGACATTAATATTTAAAAACTAACAGCACCTACCTTGTATTTTAAGAGTAGTACTACTGATAGCTTCACCCTGATCTGTTACAGTTTTACAAGTATACTCTCCGACATCTTCTGGGCCCACATCCATAATAAACAATATAGTCTTGCCTTCTTCGATACGAATGTCATATCTTGGTGAAGGTTTGATCTCCACACCATTAACATACCATGTTACTTCTGATGGTGGTTCAGATTCAATCAAACACTCAATTCTGTAAATTAAACATTGAATGGGAGTGAGTATTTAGAGGTTGATTTACTCATATGAATAGTTTATTTGTTGTTACTGATGTTTTACTAAACTGATATTATTTTAGATTTCATGTCATGTTTTGGATATTAGGGTTTGTTTTGCAGTTCATATCATTAGTACTTGGTTTTTAATAATAAAAACATTCCAAATAATAATAATTCATTTCTCAGATTCCATGAGCTGCCTTGGGTAGTTCTTTTGAAGCTATCAATTTGATTCAACAAGTGACTACAAGAGCTTTATACACCAAATTCTTGGAGAATTTACCAATCATTTTTAAAATAACTGATTGATTTTGTTGCAAAAAATGATTTAACCTCCCTAAAATAAAATATTTTTAACTTACCTGGCAATGCCACGTTCTCGGACGTAGACTTCTGGTTCCAGAGGAGCAACAACATTGGGTCTGACTTGTTGTAACACAGCTTGTTCTTCTCGTGTTACTGTAGTAACAGTTCGTGTAACAGTAACATCAGTTACCTCCGACTGTGGTAGCTCTACAAACTTCTCTTTTCCTGCAAGTCGAAATAAAGATTTTTAATACTTCATAGAGAGAACATTCAAATATATTAACTTCTAAAAGCCAACATCCAGTGCAAACTTTTTTATGCTTCTTTCAATTTGCATTTCATATTTCCAAAATCTGCAAAAATGTGTTTTTCAAAGAGCAAGACAGATGAAAGCGGTGTTTTGAAATGCGATTTGACACACAAGCATCAGGTTTCAATGCAATCAGCTCTTTCAGATGTTCTAAACTGCTTATTTGACAATGGAAGGAAGCTAATAGCCTACCTTTAAGTATCAGAGTTGTTTTACAAGTGGTGGTACCAAACTCGTTGTCAGCTTTAAGAAGATATTCTCCCTGGTCATCCTCCGTAGTATTAAACAATATAAGTATTGTACTGTTACCACGTTTTATAATTTTCCTACGTTCTGACTGTAAGATTTCTCGTCCATTCACAAACCAGGTTGTCCTGGACTTTGGTTGTGGTGCCAGTTCAACTTCAAGTCTGCAAAAAAATTAGAGTTTTTCACCTATTTGTTCTATACATGGCACATACATTATGGTTTAATGAATAAAGAAAGAAAGAACTATATTTTACAAGGATAACAATTTAGGTTCACAGTTAAGGATCCTTTCTACCAGCTGGTTCTTGGCTAAACCATTGGCAATGATCTTTTCCGAATTATCGGTACTCATTAACAGCTGGGTCGACTGGAATTATGAGTGAAGATGACTTATTCAAGGACATCGGACTATCGCACGCCGATCAGTGACCGTCAGCTGTGCAGTGTGCAATGATGCAAACACTTTTAAAACAAGAAGTACCATCAAGTGTTTTGTAAAGAGTAAGCATGGCCTGCTTCTACTTACTGAGCTGGTTTTCCAGGTATAAATACTGTGTATGGTTGTAGAGATCGAGTTAAGATTGGTTTCTGTTGTACAATTTCTACATGTACCTTTTTACCATGGAGTTCTGCTTCACGTTCATCTACAATAGCATAACATTCAAGGTTAAAATTATCTTGACACATTAAAGAACAGGGACAAAACTTTGAAGTGACTTTAGCAATGGTAATATGGCCTAATATTCGGCATTTGAATATCGCTAGCACAAACAGACAACACCCTACAGTGTCAAATCCTGGAAATTTTGAAAGAACATTAGTGCCAATTTGCCATTCTCCATTTGTATAATTTTCCAGTAATTTGTTGGACCTTGGTATTTCATCCTATCCAAATGTCTCTTGTAGTCAATAAGGACCATAATTATAGTGATAAAGAAATTTACCATTATTTATTATGTATCTTGCTGACCATGCTTAGTTCATCTTCCATCATGCAGGACATGAGTTAGTTCCATACTGGAGCAATTCGTGGTAAAAACTGCTAGTAAGTCTCATTCCATGCAGGTTAAAGGGTCTTTTAGTTGGGTTTTCATTGAAATTTTAGTGGAGAGAAACATGCATTTTCAAATTCATGTACAAATGAGAAATTACAACATTTTTCAAGCAAATTTCAGAATGGAGAATTTATAAAAATTTTAGGATGGACAATTAGCAAGCAGTAAATCATTATTTGAAAAGATATCTTCCTTGCTTCAGTGTTTATCAATATAAATATCAATGATAGTAATCAGATTTAAACACTGATTTCTTTTCACTTAATAATGAATGAATGGAATCTATCTTTTCAAATTTACAATAGTAAAAATACAATCTTATTCTAAATAAAAAAATAAAACAGTAGTCAAGCTGTTAAGGGGTGGGTCATAAAACGATCTAAAAAATGAAATTAATCTAAACTAAACACAACAAATCTTTAATCAAAATTCAGTCCCCCTTACACTCAGAATTTGTTTTTGGTCATTCATTCATTCATTCATTTTCATTTTCTTTTCATTCATTTATTCAGATTATTCATTCATTCAGATTATTCATTCATTCAGATTATTCATTCATTCAGATTATTCAAGCAAGGTTTAAACAACTAAAGATCAAAAACATCAAAAACTGTTTCAGGAAATATAAGAATATTCTTTGTTCATAGTAATCATGTAGAAAATACAGATTAACATTTTTCCTCAAAAGTTCATCAAAGATTTCAATAGTTTATAATTTTGAAATAGTTATCATTAATCAGCCCAAATTTACTTCTCTAAACTTTCACAAGCAGAGCAAAGAATATTGCCATGTATTTTAAAAACGATCTTAGTGCTAGGATCCTTCAAATACACGTTAAGACCCTTAGACAGCTTAAATTGTTTCGAGAATACACAGCATGGAATATAAATATAACTCTCTAAAAGAATCTCACACTAATATTCAATAAAACAAGAAAGTTGTTAATTTCTTTAATTCAAAAGAAAGCATCACAATAAACGAGCATGACTTACCTTGAACATAGAGTTCAGCTGAACATTCAGCGGTACCCGCCTTGTTTTTAGCTTGACAGGTGATGAGTCCAGTATCTGGTAGATATGCTTCACGTACTGTTAGAGTAGTAGTGGTCTCAGTGATTGTAATCTGAAAACATTGATTCAATACATCATCAATACTAGAAAAACTACCATAAACAAAATCAAAATTGGGAAAGATTTAGCTAACAGTTATCCTAGATAGTCTACTTAACACAGTCTATAAGATTGATAAAGATGATATTTTACCATAGTTATCCCTTACACTGTGAATGGTGTACAGTTGTCCTCCCCTCAGGCCTGTGGAAAGTTCTTATTTTGAAGTGAAAATTAAGCATTCTAAATGCTCAAAATTCATCTAAGGTCATCTGAAATCCTTTGGCTTCTGGGGGCCGCTGACAGCCCCAAAATCCCCTTTTTTGAGAAAAGATGCTCAGAATTTGAATATTAGTAAAAATCTTTACCTGGAAATCTCGAGAGTTTTGTATATTCTGTATACCATTACGTAACCATTTAATATCAGGACGCGGAGTTCCACGGAATTCGGCAATGAATTGAGCAGGTTGACCCTGGGTCACTATGGTATTCTGGATTGGTTTACTGAAACTTGGAGGTTCTTGATGATGTTCTGGTTCACTTTCCAGTCCTAAATATTAATATACACATATAATTACTCAAAAATCAAAGCTTGTTTCTTATTAAAACTTATAAATGTGTATCAATGAAAATTTAAAAGTGGCATTATTTGCCATGTGGACCCTCTGAATATGAGAATGTATTGACAGTTGTATCTAAATCAACTCTAATTTATTTGAAATTTACTTGAAAACCATATAACATTGTATAGAGATTGTCATCCCATAGCTCGGCAGTGAACTGTGAGGGAGAAATTGCACAGGAGTAACCGTTTACCATCGACCTACCAATAACTCTAAAGCTGATATCACTGTGGCATTGAATGAACAAAATCATATATAATGATGCACTAGTCTTGACTAATTTTTGAACCACAGAGTTAGGCCATATATGTTGTTAGTGTAGCGAACACAACAGAAGTCTAGTTTAAATTGTAAGAGGTAATAAACATTAACTTACCAATGACTTTAAGATATGTTGTACAGTATATCTCTCCTGATTTATTACGTGCTACACAACGATAAGTTCCTGTATCCTCGGCAAAAGCTTCCTGAATGGAAAGAGTATGAACTCCCTCTGGTGTGGACACCATTCGGAAATACTTGGACGGTTTGACTAATATAGTGTCTCTATACCAGGATACAATCGGTGCTGAAAATATAATGGAGATATATTTCAGAAATGGACAAGAAATATATATATTCAATATTTTGAACTGGAAATTTTATTGAATTTTTTTTTATTTGAATACTGTGAAAATAGCACAAAAATTAGCATATTAATGGTTCCACTATATATATAATTATATATATATCAATATCCAAGGGAAGAATATTACATTGGTGTAATAAAAATTTCGTTTTTTAATTGATTTGATTCATTGATTTATTGATTTATTCTCATTCACTGCTTCATGTTTTTATTTTTCAGGCTGATCTTGTTCAAAACACTTATTGGTAGATCTGACAGCTTTGGTAAAAACATCTATCAATACCTCTTGCTACAAGGAACTCTTTCAGAATGATTGACAGCAAGAAAAAAACACAAACACATACCTGGTTGGCCTTTTATAATTGTCTTGAAAGTGACACTGCCTCCCTCCTCTACTTCGATATTATCTTTCATTGGTTCGAGGATTTGTGGCGACTCTTCTGGAGGTGGTGGTGGAGATTCTACCAGTTGGAGTTCCTGAGGTTGATCAACTGGTACTGAAATAACAGAGATATGATGTAGTTTGCAACCAACTCAAGGCTGTATATTGAATTTCATGCTACAAATTTAATTTTTCAATCTGATAAAAGTATATCTGGATGCGTTTTTTTTTTTCTGCAGAAGACTCCACAAAATCAGAAAAAACAGAAGATCCATGTCTGATTTTAAACAGATTGATCACTTATTCTACCTGACATAAATTTCATGTTAGTTTTAAAAATGGCTTTACTTTCAGCTCAACATTGTGTTACTATGTTTGTGTACTCCATATTCAATTGTCTTCTAGTAACCACACTTAACAGACCCAAATAATTTGGCTTGGCAAATAGATTACAATTAGGTTGTATTTGGGTGCTTTGTATGATAATGTGTCATTATGTCTTATAACTTATGTATGTATGGTTTATTTACATTGTCATTAACAGATACACAATAGTCAAGATATTACATCTTCATTTTTTACCTTGACTGCAATGCCCCACTCTCTTGTTTCACAGAAGTTTGTGAATGTAGTCAAGGTATAAGAAGTAATACCTTGACTATTGTGAAGATGCCAATAAAGATGCCAATGGGAACATGAATTTGACTTCTGCTAAGGAATTAAGTTATATTCCAGATCAAAATACTTACTCTCAATATCCAGACGAGCTGTGCAAGTAGATTTTCCAACATCATTGATGGCTACACAGGCATATTGACCTGCGTCTTCTGGGGCCACTTCAAATATCAACAAAGTGAAGTTGTCTCCCTCTTCAATAAACTTCCATCTTGGGCTCTCCTTCATTGGTTGATTGTCCTGAAAATCACAGCAAAAACTTAAAAATCTTCTTAAATTATTACTGTTAGAAACCTGGTAACTCATAATCTTTTTCTTAGTTGTAATAAAGTTTTAAAGATTGTTTTGTGTGTTAACGACATTGATGGCTTCTATTTTTCCATCAGATGTCTATGGTTCCTGTGATCATAGAAAAAGCTTAAATTAACGTATTGTAGAACTTTTATCAAACATGACTGGCTGAAACAACCATATCATAAATATACAAAGAATCATTTTGTTCAATTAGTACTTAACATATTGGAAGGGGGGGGGGAACAGGTATAAATTGGTTTGATTGTATCTCATGATGTTGACTTGTAAAGTAGTTGCGAATGTCGCATGCGAAGCAGACCATGCTTACTCTTTTCGAAACACCTGATGGTACTTTTCTTTGGATGAGTTCACTACTAATAATTGATTAACGGAATTGTTTGCTTGTACAGATTTTTATTATTCCATCTATATTCTGTTCATCTCAAAAGTGAAAGCAATAGAGAGATTTTGGCTATTCATCTTTCTAACCATAAATATCCTAAGAAGAATAAGTTTGAACTCCTACCTTCATCCAATAGACTTTAGGTTTAGGTGAACCGGTTACGGTGCAGTCTAATGTTATTGGTTCTCCAACCACCTTCAAGCTGTCTCTCATCAGGTTTCTGAACTCAGGGGACTGGCTCCTCTCTGGTTCTGGAGTTTCTTCAACAGAGAGTTTTCCCTTACACTGGACCATACCAGCTGTGTTGTGGGCCTTGACTGTAAACATGCCAGCATCTTCAGGAAATACTTCTGGTATGTACAGTTTACTACTGGTGGGTGTGTTTGTAATCTGGAATGAACATATTAATAGGTAAAGTTACATTTCAATTATTTTCTGATTTGACCTCTTGAAGTAACCCAAACTTTTTTTGAAAGGGAAATTTTAATCTTGTTAAAATATAATATTTACCTGGAAATCTCTACAAGACTGTATCTCGAAGGAATCTCTGTACCAAGTGATGGTTGGTGGTGGTTTCCCACTGAATTTTACTTCCCAACTAGAAAATAAGAAAATAACGCTTAATATATATAAATACACATAATTCTCAAATTCAACTGCCTTGAAAATTTGAAATGACTATGGTTATGCATTTTCTTCACAAGCTTTTTCCATATTTGGACAAATTTCTCTTACAAAAGAAATAACACTTACGATAAAGGTTCACCAGAAGTGACTTTAGTAGGTTTTAATGGCATGGTGAAGACTGGAGTTTCTCCCAAATCTAGATTAATCTGTTGACGAGACACCTGTCTTTCTGTCACCCGACCAATATCAGGTACAAAGCTCACACCAGGTTGGGCTTGTTTGACCGGTAAAGCTGGTTGAGGTTTGGGTTTCTGCTCCAGTTTGATATGTTTAGTTACAAATTTCTGTTCTGAAATCATGGTGCTGGCATCCTTCTGGACTGTCACTCTTGAATCACCAACTAAAAAATCAAATTATTGGTCAGTTCATTGGTCAGTGGCATTTCCACAGAATTTGATTGTTCAAGCATAAATTGGTCAGTGAATATGAACCATATGTCACAGGTGGCTGACAGGCAATGGAATTTTTGTAATGTTAATTAGTAAGAAATTTCAGAGGGAAGGTTGGGTCGCGAACCAGGGAAACTCTACTTCTTTTAGGTTTGAATTCATCAAAACCATAGATTATATGATGACTTCTTGTCACTAGTCTGCAGGATAAATGTAGAACTATACCAAAAACACCACAAGACAAATTTATCAATTTTACACTACCTTCTCTGAGCATGAATTTATGAAGATTTTAAAACAAGGTAGCACACTACTGTACTGGCTTCACAATTTTTTGGGGCGGAGTCAATTTGGATAAAAAGATTACTCACTTCTTTCAAATTTACGGAATTCAAATTCTGTAGCTTTGGGTTTTTTCAAAGCTCGGTCCAATTCAACACTTCTTAGTTCCATTTTTTGTCGTCTCTTGAGTTCTATTTCAAGTTCACCTTTAGGTGCTTGACGTAATCTAGCTCTCCAATCTTCTTTAGGTAAAACAACCAATGAGGTGCTACATTCTTGTTCTCCATAGGGATTTTTAGCGACTACACGAACTTGGCCAGCGTCGTATTCTCGGACACGTGGGATTTCAAGGTAGTGGATCATACCGTCATAGGTTACTTTATATCGTGAACCCTGCAAAAACAAATTACGTTATCAGACTGTAGGCATGTTGCTTTTATAATGTTCACATGTTCATGAGCTTCCAATTCTGCCAATAAGGGTAAATTTAAATTTTACAGGGTAGACAAAAAACTGAATATCAGCATGTAAATTACTTTGTTTCACATATTTTAGTTATGAATTTCTGAAAATCTTTTTCAATAAATTGAGCACATATTGGCACCAATAGAAATAGAAATGTAAAATAATCCTGTTAATATACTACTTACAGTGACAATTAGACTACCATTGACCCACCAGCTGACCCTTGGTCTGGGATAACCTTGGACTTTGACCATAAATTTAGCAGGTTCCCCCTCTCCAGTTTCCACTGGTAACATCTGAAGATCAAACTCTGGAGGAGCAGGAGCCTGTGGTGCCTCCACAAATTTATCATCAATGCTTCTGGTACTGAAAAAAAATAGAATTTGTATAAGAACATCATGAAATAAAGATGCCAAAAACTTCTCAGAAATAATGAGACCAAAACTGGAATTATTGGCTGTTTACAATGTGCAAGAATTACCTAGTTAAAGAAATTCAGTCGGAGTACAGCCTGCTCAGTTGAATAGAATTCTGTCACATTCAGTTCAGATATTTACCATAACCAAGCAAGTAAAATCATTGGATATTTTATCTCCTTTTCAAGCCACCTGTCCTAATGAGACCATTTTTATACAAAAGTGACGGCTAAGCTCTAGTCAATAAATATATAAAATAAATAACGATGTTCGTATTTTGTACAAAAAAGTGTCAACAGTTGAGCACTTGTCAATAAAAAATAACAGATGAACTTACTCTCTCCAGTGATCTTCCATCTCTTGTAGTCGTAAAGCTCCATCACCTGGTAACTGTGTATCAGATATAACACCTCTCTTAGCTACAAATATCATTATAATATATCATATACAATTGTTAGGATTCATATTAAAATTAATTTGAATATTATCATTAAATCTATACTATACAAATTTTTCCTTTCATATTCCTTTAAGGGAATGGTGCACCATTCTTTTTGACCAATCATACTTAAATCTCAGAAACGGGAATTTTTATAATTCAGTAATAGTGTTCACAGCTCACCGTGGAAATTTGAGCCTTCAAATCCAAGTGTGTCCAGATTTATCCTCGTTTGAATGTTAAAATGACAACTCATCATTTATAATTCCTAGATTGAGATATTTTTGCAGGAATTATGCATTTTGGTACATTTCTAGTACTTCTGAAGATTATTTACATATTTTCAAGACCCAAATCAACCCCCCAAAATGGCGCACCTGTCCCTTTAACAACCAGCAGAATATACATAAACTATAAGTTGTACTTAAGGACCAGAATGCAATGGACTTTTACATCCTTTTTCATTCATACCAAGCGAAGAATTTGTTGATGTAAAAATTCGACTTACGTTTACAGTGTATATTGGCAACTGTTGTATCTTCACCATAGAGATTGGTGGCACGGCATGAATACACGCCATTATCTTCAGGATAGGTGTATAACATATCCAAACCAACAAACCCAAAATCATACATAGGTTTGAAACGGTGACCTATAATAACAGATTTCTAGTTATTTACAGAGATAATACAGAATTCATCCACTGACAATATTAAAATCACAATGAGAAAACTGAATGTACCAATACAAATCACGCTCCACCAGGCAACAATTTGTACTTCTAGGTGCTGGTTCAATTACTGGACTGTGTATTTGGTTTGACTTAGCAAAATACAACTCTTGATGTTAAAGAATAGATACTTTTTGGCCAACAGAAAATTTTTCAGTATTCAATACTGATTTGCCAATTCATATTTCTGCGTGCATCTAAAGTTACAAATGGACTAAATGGACTCAGCCAGTTGACAGAATTGTCCCCTTTGAGTCAATGGATATACACAATGAACCCTGGCACTTACCATGAAGAAGTGGTTCTCCATCTCTGAACCATTCCACCTTCATGTGGGGGTCTCCCAGAGGAACCAGACGACATTCAAAATGTGCTGAGTCATTCTCTCTGAGAGCCAATAGATCTTTAATTTGAGTCTTGAATCGAGGTGGTCGTTGTTTCTCTTTGGTAAACAAATCTTCCTCTGGAGGAGCTTCACCCTCACGTTTGATGTATTCTCGTACAGCACTCTCTCGATCATCCAATGCCCTGAATAAAATAACAACTCAGTTAGGTTACAGTACATACAAATAAATTTCCAAATACATGATACCTTCTTTCAAACTCAACCTATGCTGAAATCTGTCAATCAAAGGCGAATACATGGAGATAACATTAATAGATACTTCATCTGATTTCAATATTAATCTAGATACTTTTCTCATCTCAGTCGATTTACGATTATTCGTTGTTAATCAAATCAAGTTGGTTGATAAGCAAATTTTTAAACATTTTCTTTCCAAACGACAATCGATAGATTTGATCTTTTCGCTTGATAGTTTGCAACACTTTCTTTGTACATTTGAAAAACATTAGTAAAAACTAAAAAAAATTATGATGTTATTTTATGACTCTGAAAAAAAGATAATTTGTCAAAACAAAAATCAAAATCTGAAAAACACAACAACACATCAACTCAAGCCATTATTTCAAAAAATAACAAATATGATGATAGGTAAAATAGTTTTTAGAAACAAAAATAAAACTTAATGTTGGTTCTTGGCTGAAAAATGAAATGAATTATTTAGTATTGTCAAATTGGGACTTGCACTCATGAAATTAATATGTTTAATTTGATTTTGAT